GAGCAGCCCTGCCTATGTAGGCAGGGGGTGCTGCTGGCCTTGCCAGGGCCTCAAGCCCTGTCCGACTCTTTCCTTCCAGGCCTTCGACCCCTTTCTTCGACCTGCTGCAGCACCGGTACCAGCAGCTGTGGGTACAGGAACAAAAGGCCACCCAGAAAGCCATCAAACTGGAGAAGAAGCAGAAGGTAGCACAGCCCTCCCCCCGAGTGACCGCGTGTGGGGAGAGGAGGGAGGGGAGGGCTGGCCCAACCAGGCTCTGAGACCGGTTTGTACATGCTTGTGTTGGGGCTGGTGTAGGAGAACCAAGTTCCGTAGTGGTTAAGGGGCTGGGACCAGCAGATGGCGAAATGTCTACGTAGCTGGACTCCCATGTAGTCAACCACAGTTCGAGTCCTGGACCAGACTGCTTAAACTCACACCGGGCGCGTGGGCGTGCGTGCCCAAGATCCCGAGAGGAGAATGGAGGAGAAGGGATTGCGGCATGACCATGCCCCCTGGGGGGTGATTTCTCACTTTCTCTCCCTCTCTGTCTCTCTGGTGAGTGCAAGGGCCCTATAGCAAAAATATCTCTTAAAAAAATAATAAAAGAAGAGGCTAATCAGGCAAAGTGGAGAGGAACAAGCTGATCTTAGAATGGCGATTTTGAAGGATGCATTTTATTAAACTTAGGGACCCATTTTCTCACGTTAATGCCAAGGCTCGTGCCAGCCCTTCCCCTGTGTCCCACGCATCACGCACCTGTGCGTTAGAAAGCCTGTGAGGAGGGCGTGTCACCCCTACTTCCTGGCCTCAGAATTAGGGTGTGGAGAGGTGGTGTCTACGTAGGGGAGCTTGGGTTCCAGCCCCAGCCACGTCCCTGCTCCTCCTCGTCTGAGGGGCAGGGAGCAGACTGGGTGAGACTTGTTCCAGAAAAAAAGTACTGGGCCATTTGAAAATACTCCATGTGTTCTTTCTTTAAAATATCCTGAAATTTGGGGACTGCAGGTGGTGCAGAGGTTAAGGTGGCTGGATCCACATGGCCGGCGGCATGGTTCGAGTCCCAGATTTGGCAGCTTAAAAAACACGCTGGGCATGTGTGCATGTCCAAAATCCCAAGGGGAGAATGGAAGAGAAGGGATTGTGGTGGCCACCCTCCCCCGCCAGGGAGGTGCTTTCTCATTTTCTGTCTCTCTCAGCCTCTCCTTGGCTAGTGCAAATGCCCTGCTACAAAAACTAAAAAAAAGGGACCAGCAGTTGGCATAATGGCTATGTCGCTGGACTCCCATGCAGTCCACCACAGTTCAAGTCTCAGACACAGTTGCTTAAATTCACGCCGGGTGCGTGTGCGTGCATGCCCAAGATCCTGAGAGGAGAATGAAGGAGAAGGGATTGCGGTGTGGCCATCTTCCCCCGTCCCACGGGGAGAGATTTCTAGAGTGATTTCTAGCTCTCTTTCTCTCTCTGTCTTTTTGGCCAGCGCATGCACCCTATAGCAAAAACCTCTCAAAAAAAACTAAAAAATAAGAATCCTGAACTCGGACTGTCAGAGAGTTCAGCTCAGTCTCTTCTCCAATCAGTCCAGAAGGATGATAAGTGTATGTTGGGACCAGCAGATGGTGTAGTGGTTATGCTGCAGGACTCTCATGTAGCTGACCGCAGTTCTAGTCCCGGACCTGGTGGCTTAAACTCATGTTTGGCACGTGTATGTGCGTGCCCAGAATCCCAAGAGGAGAACGGAGGAGAAGGGATTATAGCAGTGTAGCGTGACTCCCACCTGGGGGGGTGATTTCTCACTTTCTGTCTCTCACTTTGGCAAGTACCTGTGCCCTATAGCAAAAATTTCTCAAAACAATAAAACAAATCAAATCAAATCAAACAAACAAACAAACAAAAACCAGAACAATGATAAGTGTATGTCTGCATGTTCAGGTCAACTCAGGGTCTGAAACCAGGGACTCCCATATGGCCCCAGTATTGCACAGCGGTGCCTGCGGCTTACACTGCTGTGGCTGGGCCCAAGAATAACTTTTTGCTATAGGGTGCATAGAGAGAGAGGGAAAGTGAGAGATCACCCCTCAGGGGGATGGCCTTCTCCTCCATTTTCCTCTCGGATTTGGGCACACACACCCAATGTGATTTTCAAGCCCCTGTATCTGGGATTCGAACCATGCATGGAGTTGGCCGTGTGGGATCCATGCCTTAACCACCACGCCACCTACTGGCTCTGGAATACCTTTTTTTTTTCCAGAGAGATTTTTGCTATAAGGCACATGTGCTCACCAGAGAGACAGAGACAGAGAGACAGAAAGTGAGAAATCACCCCCTGGGTGCCTAGCCATGCTGCAATTCCTTCTCCTCTATTCTCTTGTCAGGATTTTGGGCACACACGCACATGCATCCTTAAACATGAGTTTAAGCCTCCAGGTCTGGGCCTCAAACGGCGGTCGCCTATGTGGGAGTCCAGCGACATAACCATGACATCACCTGCTGGTACCCTGGAATACCTTTTAGGACCAGCCCGTGGCTAGCTTCTTTGTTAATGGCTCAAGAACAGTCAGCAGGCTGTGACGATGGCCAGTGCTGTGGGACACGCCACTCAGGGTCACATCAGAGCTGCATGTCTTCATTAGCAACTGCGTCAACTGTGTCACAGCACCTTGGAGATCCGCCGGCCCACAGACACTGGGTCCTCCGGGCACTCATCTTCGGCTCCGGGAGAGCCCTCAGAACCACTGCCCCCTCACGAAGCAGAGGGCCCTCTTCGCAGCTGGCGGAGTGATGGGCCCACACCCGGGGGGCCGGTGTGTGACTCTGAGGAGTCTCAGTTTCCTCACTGAGCAAATAAAAGGGTCGAATTGGATGCAGGCCCACCATGCTGTGCTCACATAGGGAGGAAAGACGCCTTTTCCCTGCCCATCCGCTTCATGGTTGAGGCCCTTCTAACAAAAGACAGATTAACAAGGGAAAAGCACACACATTTATTAAGCTGTAAGTCTGGGCCACAGGAGCCCTGTAAGGACAGGGAGACCCAAAGAATCGGCTAAACCTGTATACTTTGATGCTAGGGGATGGGGAGACAGGGCTGGACAAAGGAGGGTCGAATGGCAGTAAACGTGGGGGACTGGAGCAGACTTGTCTGTCCCCATCCTGCTCTGAGACCCAGGGTCTGAGGCCCGAGGAAAAAAATGGGCATGGGGGGTGGGGGCGCCTCTCCCATGAGGGTCTTAGGACCTGCTTCAGGGAGGAAGAGTGGGCAAAAGCCAGAGAGAATTCCTGCTTCTCTTCTTCAGCACGCCATGGTGGCCTATTGTGGGGTACTGTGTCCACAACCCCACTTAGAAAACACTCGTTGAAATCACATCGGAGTTCTCATCACACTCCAGAATTCTCGTACCTGCCACATTACCTTACAAATGGCTACAAAGCTGTCAGACACTGCGGGCTGCTGTCCGGGGCTGATAGACAATTTATTAGGCTGGTAAGACAGATGGCCAGGCTGCGAGGCCCATCGCCTCCACCCACGGGGAGGCTGCCTCTTCCTTAGGCCTGCAACCAGTCCTGGGTTTCGAACAGCCGTGACTCCAGACACAATTCTTGGTTGCAGCTACAGTTAGCAAGTCGTGATCTTGGGCTAGACCCTCTGCTCAGGTCTTAACTCTGCTAATCTTTGAAGAACACTGGCTTTGGGAACCAGCAGTTAGCGCAATGGCTATGTCACTGAACTCCCACGTAGTCGACCACGGTTCACGTCCAGGACCCGGTGGCTTAAAACTCACGCCAGGCACGTGTGCGTGCGTGCCCAAGATCCCGAGAGGAGAATGGAGGAGAAGGGACTGCAGCGTGACCATCCCCCCTGGGGGGTGATTTCTCGCTTTCTGTCTCTCTGTCTCTCTCTGCTGTCTGGTGAGTGCACACGCCCTATAGCAAAAACCTCTCCAAAGAAAAAACAACAACAACAACAAAGAACACTGGTTTTTAGGCATCAGTACCCCATGTGAGCCTCGAGGTAAACTCAAGAAGCAAAGTAGGGAACGCAGAAGAAGTTGATTCGGGCCAAGTTTGAGGACTGTGGTCCGGCATGCAGCCTGGGGCATACGCGGTGGCCCTAAACATGTGCACCAAGGTCCTGTCATCTTCAGGCAGGTGTTAAAGGCCAGAGTCAGGGGCCAGCAGGCGATGTGGCAAGTAAGGCGACTGGATCCCACGTGGCCGGCTGTGTGGTTCAAGTTCCGGACCCAGTGGCTTGAAAGCAGGCCCGGAACATGTGCGTGTGCCCATAATCTCAGGAGGAGATGTGGCAGCCCCTCCCCCGCAACACACCGAGGGGACTCCTCACGTCCCCTCTTTGCAGCGAGCACACACACCCTGTAGGCAACACTAAGAGCAATGAAATAACAATAAGAAAGGCAGACGTCAGAGTGGAGGGCGTTTATCAGTGACATCGAAGGAGCGCTACCCGTGGCTGGCAGGGCCCCTAAAGAGGGGGGCCA